GGGGGGGGGGGCTGTGCTCAGGCTCAGCTGGTCGCTGATCAACCCTAGGAGCTGCCATAAGGCACTTAACCCAGTTTCACAAGGAGCCCACACGCATCACGTCCGGTGTGAACAGTGAGCAGTTCGTGGGAACCAGCTGCTTCCCTGGGGTGTGGGGGGGTAGACATGGGATGGGTGGAGGCTGGCTGGGGGCGTTGGCACCCTCACGTGACACAGAAACCACCCGAGGGGTTGTGAGCAGGCCCAAGACTGCAGGGTGCTAAGTCAGGACGGCCAGAACTGCTCTAGGCACGGGGAGTTGTCCTGGTGTCTGCAAAGGGCCCCCACTTTCCACGCCGGGAGGAGAGGGGGACGGAAGAGGCGAGAGCTGGATCGTGCTTAGTGTTTTATTCCCGAGCAAACCAGGCTACGGACCCTCCCAAGCACACAACCGAGTCCTTCCTCTTCCCACCGTCCCGTCCCTCAGCCTCCAGTCCGCTTCCTCCAACCTCGAACCAACGACTTTCTTGTGACAAGTCCACTCCTTCCGAACGGTTTAATGACGAAGAAACGTTAAATAGTTACTACAGAAAAGGGACCAGGAGTCGGGTTTCACTCCGTGCAGAGGACGGCGACGCCACGCTCGTAGAAGCTACGTGGATCCTCCTTGGTGGCAATCTCAAAATCGACCGTGAAGATGAGGTCCGCACGGGTGAAGTTCAGGTAGACGGGCAGGGTCACCTGGGGGAGAGGGCAGGGTCTTACTGCCGGCTTCGGGAGAGGCAGGACACCGTGGGCATGGTGGACAGTGGCCCTGGTGATGGGGCGGCTTGCCTCCGTGTGGCCCTGGGGTCCTAGTGACGAGCTGGCCCCGGGGGAAGGGGGGCGATGGCTGCACCTGATTGCTCGTGGCTGTGCGCACGGCCCCTGCCAACCCCAGGACAGGAAGGGGCCACTTACTACGTTAGCCTTTCTCTCTGCATTGGTCTGCTTGAGCCAGCGCAGCTGCGTCAGAGGGAGGACCGTGGAGATGGCGTGGGACAGCGACAGCTTGTTGTTATTGCACGTGGCCCCCTGGAGCTTCAACCCTGCGGGGAGAAGTCAGGCTCTGTCACCCGTGGGAAAGGCTGCCCGAATCTGTGACACCGCGCCCGGCCCTGGCGTGCTGCCTCCCGCGACCTCAGACACGGACTGGGAGCCACACCGGCACCCAACCTGGACCCCGACTCACCCGTGACCCCAAAGCTGCAGGCATCGAGGGTGGCACTCTGGGACGTGGTGACGTTGACTTCCAGGCAGAGCTCCTCCAAGGACCAGCTGTTGGCCTGGGCCACGTACTGCCTGGTGGCGGTGATGTAGGCCTCGGGCACGAACAGGCCGCCCAGGCACACGTGGATGTTCTGCGGGAAGGAGGGGCCCCCGTGAGCGGGGAGCACCAGCCACAGGGGATCTGTGCCTGTCCCCGAGCGGCCCCGGGGCTGCCCCTCCCCCGCACCACTTAGGAGCCGCTCCCCACCTTCAGCTCCTTCGCGCCGCCAGACGCAGCCGCCAGAGAGATGTTCTGTAGCTGTTTGATCCTCTCGCTGAAGTCGGCCACCCACTGGATGACGGTCATGCCCGCGGGCACCGTGTAGTGGGACCAGCTCCGAGGCAAGATCCCTGCGAGCGAGGTGACCCAGGCTTGGTTCTGACATCCCTGGCACAGGTGCTCGGACCTGCCAGAGCTCGTCTGTTTCCCCAGCTGCGCCTGCGCGCGAGCACTCCGCCCGCCCCCTCCCCACGCCACGTCTCCTGTGCTGGCTGGGCCCGCACCACCTCTGCCCTGCTCAGTCCAGTGTGGCTGACGGGGTGTACATGGAGGACCCCAGTGGCCCCAAGGGACACCGCAGCTGTTAACCCCCATCACGGAAGGGGCTGGGTGTCACCGGCAGGTCAGGCTCTTGAGACATCTGGGTGCTCGCTCCCTGTATCCTTCACGTCCCCCACTTTTCCTCTGTGGTGGCCACCCTCCTAAAGACGGTAAAGATCTTAGGGAACGTTCAGGGCCCAGCAAGTAGGAGAAACAAATTCTTGGGCCCTTCGAAGCCTGACCCCCAGCTGCCCTCACAGGGAGGTCTGTGCAGATGGCAACGTGTGCGAGGCCGGGCGGGACCTGCCGACGCCGGAGGGCAGCAGCCACCTGGCCCCGGTGCGCCCTGCTCGGCGCCCCGTGAGGCGGACGTGGGGGGCCGGGCCCCAGGGCACGCCCGGGAGGGCCAGTACCTTTGACCAGCTCGTTTATGAGCGTGCGCAGGTAGTTGGTCTGCTTCTTCTTCCCTTCACACACTTGGACGACGTCCGCGAGGTCCTGGCGAACGTCCTGAAGTAGCTTAGCCCCCATCTTCACTTCTCTCTCAAAGAACCTGAACAAAGGGTCCTAAAATTGTTCAAAGACACGGGAAGGCCAGGGTGAAGGGGAGAGTCCGGGAGAGGGCCCCTCTCCCGTGGGAGGCAGGCCCGTCCACACCAGGTCCCCCGCGGGGAGCCCGGGAGCTCACGGCTTCGCCCGAGCTCGCCCTGGGCCCGGGCCTCGGGCGAAGCTGGTCGGAAGCCTGCCACGGGCTGGGCCCTGGAACCACTGGCCTAGCGTATGCGGACGGACCACATCGTAGAGCGCTCTGGCCAGCTTCCCAGGGTCGCCCCCTCTCGCCCGAACCTGGGCTCAGGGGCCCGCTGGGACTACACTGAGCTCCGTCCGTCCAGCCCTCCGGGGCCACAGCCGCCAAGGGGCAGTCCCGCCCACTGCCGGCACCTTGATGTTCTCCACCGTCCGCTTGAGGTGGCTCAGCGTCTGGGGGATGAGGTGCAGCCAGTTGGACGCGGTGGTGTGCAGGGTCCTCATCCAGGCGGGCCGGCCGTCGGACGTGGAGTCCGTCCTGGCCTTCTTCTCCGTCTCGGCGTAGGCCAGGTCATCCTCGTCCTCCAGCATCTGCATCTTCAGCATCTTGCTGATCATGTCCACGCCTGGGCCACAAGCCCACCGGTGACGGAGGGAGGGGGACGGGCGGGAGGTTAGAGGAAGAAGGATTTGAATGCAGAGGCCACAGAACACGTCTACCCATGAGGTACAAGTGAGGACGCGTTTCTGAAGCTCACAAAGCAGCCGGGCCAAAAGATGAGGTGGCAGATGCAGTGGAAAGCTACCGCCACATCCGGTCACGGCTGCTGGGGCTGAACCAGCAGCCTGAGCGCCAAAGACGAGAGTGAGGCTGCTCGAAGACTCGGAGTTCACCGTGAGGCTGGCAGAGCCCCGACCGAGGCTGCAGAGGGGTGGGCTCTGGGGCATGCCAGGTGCCAGCCAGGAAGGGTACTGCGCTAACTCCGTGTGCCCTGGGTCGTCTGCCCCCCTGCTCCACCTCGAACACCGGCCCCCGTCCCGTTAAAGCCTGGCCTCACCCCCGCCCTCACAGGGTCCCTGAGTGCTCGAAGTCCAGTTCCTGAGCGGCATTAAAGGCCGGACCAGAGGGGACAGGCCGGCACGGGCTCCCATGTGGGGTGGGCAGCAGCCGAGCCTTCAGCGCTACCTGAAAGTGGGACTGGGTGTGACCAGCAGAAAGCTGGAGTGACGGCGGGAGCTTGTTAGTACAGGGACAGGGAGGGCATTCCGGCCAGCCAGGGTGAGCGACAAATCCTACAAACCAGTCCCCTGTCATGGGAGCCAAGTAGGGCTCACAGCAGGTGCCCTGAGTGTTAATACCCTACGTGATCTCATCTCAGTACAGGCTGTCGTACAACAGAGCACTCGGGCCCGACCCTGGACCTGCCAGGACCTGCCCTGCACCGAGGCCTCGAACTCGCACAGCAGGCCAGCGTCTCGTCTCGGTGGCTTACAGGACCTGTGCCGCCTCGTGGGGGTGGGGTAGCCTGGCATGCCTTCAAAGTTGTCCTCAGAGAGCAAGCCTGGTAAGTAGGGGTTCTTGTGCAGAGTGGGGAGATGGCCCGAAGGGCTGTCTGATCCTGTCCCCTCAGCTAGCTGTGTGAGTTTGGGGAAATCACAAGTTCTTTCTGGGCCCGGTTCCCATAAAGAGAAGTTTGGGTTAGATCAGCCGTTCATAAGCTTGCAGACACAGCAGCTGCCCGGAGGGCTTGTTGGAGCAGGGGGCTGGGCCCCCACTTCCCACTGCGGAGGTCTGAGGCAGGTCCTGAGAATCTGCATTTCTAAGAAATTCCAGTGAGGTTAATGCTGCTGAGAACCATACTTTGAAAACCTCTGCGTTACCTATTTCTTGAATACTCTTGGGAAAAAAAGGAGAAAGAAAAAGCTTCTAAGAAGTATCCTAATAAAAACTAACGGTTTTAAAACTTCACATAATACCAGGTGCCTTTTGACTCTTTTAGGCAAAACAGAAGAAATCCTGTCTGAATGTAAGCTGATGCCCTAGATGTAACTTCCAGACCTCATTGACCGAAACACCAAGTTTTGTCCAGACCGAGCCTAGACTGCAGGGGAGGCACCAGCTGGGACCCACTCCAGTTCCCGTGCCTCCCCAGGGACGGAGCCAGGAGGGGCCAGGATCTGAAGGGCCAGCGGAGGGAGGGGGCAGGCCGAGGCCTGAGGCCTGACCTGGTCGGCACAGGGAAGGGGCTGCCCGTGGGGTACCCACCCTGGGTAGTGAGCAGGACTCTCTCCGCGTTGTTGGGCAGGCCCAGCCAGGAGGGCGTCTGCGTGTCGGGGAGCAGCTCCACCCACTGCACGAACTCCTCTCGCCTAGAAAAGCAGCACGTTGGGAAACGCCACCCCGGGTGACGCCGGGGACTGCCGGGCACGGCTGGGGTCTGGGTCACAGGAGGTAGGCTTGTACCTGATGCCGTCGGGCATTTGAATGTCTTTGTGCCCGTCGACCTTGCAGGCCAGCTTAAATTCACTATCGAAACTCTTCGTCGTGAACAGACGCTCCAGGAAAGTGTTGAGCAGACGCTGATCGAACTCGTTGTCCACCCGCCCGCCGTAGATGGACTGGGCCATCAAGGTCTTCAGTGCGGACCACGGGATCTTGTCTGGCGAGATGTTCTGCCTGCCCTGTGTGAGGAAAGCTGGGTTTGCGGGGGCAGGTCGGAGGGGAACCGGCACACCGGGTCCCTCTGTTGGTGGGGCGAGTCCTTCCTCACACCCACATCGAACACGACCCCCACCGTCGGCCACCACAGCCGCGCGCGCTCCCGAGCGTCCCCTCCCATCTGACACGGCAGCCCGCACTTGCCTTTGCTGTGTCATCCAGCCACGTGTCTACCGTGTCGCAGGCCGACCGCAGGTCAGACTCCCCAAATTCATACTTCTTTGACCACCCCAGGGGTGCGTATCGTAAGCGTTCTTGGATGATGGCGTGGAACCAGGCCAGCAGGAAGTATAAGCGAGCACGCTCATTGGGAGACTGGGTGAGGAAGGTTATCAAAGACAGAACCCTTAGAAAGCAACATCCTTTCCAAGAAAACAGTGCAGCTTCTCTAACAAAGTTCTAAGAAGAGCTTTTTGGGGGAGCCCAGGGGGCTCAGTCCATTAAGCATCCGACTTGGGCTCAGGTCGTGATCTCGCGGTTCATGGGTTTGAGCCCCGCATCGGGCTCTGTGCTGACAGCTCAGAGCCTGGAGCCTGCTTCCGATTCTGTGTCTCCCTCTCTCTCTGCCCCTCCCCCACTTGTGCTCTGTTTCTCTTTCAAAAATAAAAAGAGCTTTTCACCCTGAACCACACTGAACTTGAGGGCTTCTGACGCAGTACCGTTAACACTAATACCATTGCCAGAAATGAAGTGCTACTTTTCCTGTTAATTAAGATGTAATCCAATAACGCTGTAAAGATAAATTATTCAACTGTAGAAAATGATACAGAAAACAAATCTAAAATGGTCAGAAAAGGGGGATTATAGCACAAAATGAAACAGTACTTCAGAATTCCTCTCCTCCTGCCCACGAGCTTGGTCTTTGGCGCCTCGGAGGGCACTGCCCAGCCTCAGGGGACCATGGTCAGGAGCGCAGGATTCTCATTTACCCCAGACCTAAATCTGGGCTCTGGTTAGAGCTGCACTGGGGGCGTCTGCTCTCCTGGGAGCCTGGCTGTCACACCCTCACAACAGGACACCGTGCAGGCATACTTTTCAATCTGTTCACAGGAAGGGAATTTTGCCTACAGTTAAGTAGTACAATTTCCAGGGTTATCAGCCATTCTGGTGTTTCTGGGAGACGTGGGGACCCACCTCCGAATTTGCTGAAGGGACCTGGTCTCCTGGGCTTGTCCGGAGAAAGTGCACCAGGAGAAAGCGACGCTTACCTTGCAAATGCGGGAGACGGGGATGCTGCTGAATGTCCTCAGCATGTTGGCCTTCACCCCCGGGGGTGGCTCAAACACGAAGATGCGGCCTGCGCGGAGCAGGTTCACGGGCACCTGAGGAAGACACTGTTCCTGTCAGTGCCCTGGTTAACTGTGTGCTTCGGCTCTACACACACACGCACACCCACGATTTCAGGACAGAAAGATGGCAAACCAGCACTCAGAGCAACATGCCGAGCACACACCTTGGGGTTAATCTCCATGGTGAGGAACAGCCGGAAGCAGGCGTGCGGCTGCAGAGAGTGAAGCTTCTTCTCCAGCTGCATCAACCACCCCGGGGCCAGGTGCACGTTCTTCAGCATCACCCACCTGCACGAAGCGAGAGCCACAGCTACACTTCACGTTTCCGCTCTGGACTCTTGGGAACCGAGGCTTTTTCAAACAAGACAGGCCTACCTGCCGGACTTGACGGCTGTATTGATGGCTTTATCTGCTTGGTTGAAGCCTTCGGCCGAACCTGGTGCCAGAAAGCTTAGTGTCAGCACGGCAGGCTTGGACTTCAGTGTCCACCGTGAGTTCTGAGGGGCTTCAGCCCGAAAAACCCACCAAGTGCCCTTACCGATTGCGATTGAAGTGATCTGCGTGTTCTGTTCTGCTGCAAGGTCTTCGACGTGCCCGCTGGCGTCATACCCAGGCACAGAGCACATCAGGACAGGAGTATTCGGCTTTACCTGCAGATGCAGAGGTCAGAACTAAGACCGGGAGTCTGTGGAGAGGAGAGGCCTGTGGGGCGGGCCTTGCGAAGATTCCCCCGGCCCCAAGGTGCGGGGCGCTGGGAGCCGGCCAGGGTGGGAGTCTAGCAGGTGTATGGCCTGACAAGACGGCGCCTAGGGGCTGGGGCAGGTGAGGCCCACCCAAGCCTGCTGGGAGCCAGAGCCGCACCTCTGTGTCCACGATGTGAGTCAGGTCAAGAGGCTGCTCCATGATGGACATGAAGGACTCCCCGAGGTTTGTGGAAACAAACATGTGGGCCATGGCCAGCAGGCGATCAGGGCGGAAAGCCTGAATCAGGAGCAGGCGGTGGATGGCGTGCCCGATGGGTGCTGGAACGAGGCATGTGGAGGGTTGCGGGGAGGACACGGCCCAGACTGCCCCGCTGGGACTGGTCTGGCTGCAAGTCCCCGCTCGGATGACAGCTCAGAATCATGCCGCCACCTCTGGTCTTCTCTGCCCCAAGGAGAACTGCCACCCTCTCCTGTCTTCAGTGAAGCCCCTGGACACACCTGTGCTCATGTCTACCACATGGGCCTCTCTGTGGGCACGGTGGCAGTTACCAACTTCACGTGACTCCACCGCCACCCATTTGTCGTAGGCAGAACACAGATCCTGAGCCGTCTAGAGAGGATCACAGCCACCGCCAGCCCTGCCCCTGCTGCACCGTGGAGACCCTGCCCACTGGCCCCAGCTGGGCTAGCACAGGGCCTGGGGCACTACACTCAGAACTTGCCAATCTCTCCCTTAACATCGGGCAATGGTCTTCCTACCTGTCTCTCTTGGTCTTTAAGCGAGAGTGGGAACACGAATTAGGACCTGAAGATTTTACACTGAGACACTTATTTTAGGAATCGGCGACTTTCTCGGAGGTGTCCCTTCACTCAGGTGGCAAAGCCCAATTTTACATTTGGGTCCAGAATGAAAACACCGGGGAGGCCTTGATGCGGGCTTACTTGAGGGGGCTTCTTCACTCCAGAGGTACGGGACCGTCTGCTCTGGGGAGCTGCTGTCCAACCAGATGCCAAATTGCTGTGGACACAACGGGAGAAGCGTCGCCACGGAGCACAGCCCGTTTTTGTGGGCAGAGAAGGTGGGATGAATACATCAGATGGCTGATGTGTGCGCACGACACACGCAATTCCTAACTGCCAACTTCCTGGGAAGAGGCTGGGACGCGTTCAGAACACTCACCTCGTCGGCCTGAACCTTTGCAATCAGATCTTTGAAGGCAGGGAGACAGCTCAACCTCACAACGGCCTCAGCCTGCTCCACGGTCAGGCCCTGGATCTTGGGCGTCGAGCCAGCACTCAGGACGATCTCCTTCCCTCTCAGGAAGTGCTGGAATTCGGCGTCGTAGGTGGGCTCCCTGGGAAGGGGGCAACGAGTTAGCAAGGGTCTCAGATTCACTTCTGCACTCACTAAAAGAGCGGTAATAGCAAAGACTTCTTTCCTCTCTTTAAGCCCTTCAGATGCTAGCAGACAACCTACAAGATGACAGCGCCCTGCGGGGACAAGTGCAGCAGGGCGGCGGCCTTACCCGATGGTGCCCTTCAGTTTGATTCGGGCCAGCAGCATGGCGAAGGTGATGTGGTCCTGGTGCAGCATGCCTCTGGCCACCCGGTTGAACGCCACCTGGGGACAAGAGCGGGAGACGCTGCCGGCCCCGGAGAACAACCTCCCACCTTCCCTCCCTGGGGACAGCCAAGCGCCGGGCTCTCTACCTGGAAGAGGTCCTTCGTGATGATGGAGAGGCGCTGCGTGTGGTCTGTGATGCCCTTGAGGTTCGGGTTCTCGTACAAGACGTTGTGGTAAATGTCCAGGAAAAACTGGAGGGAGTACTGGTACAGGAAGTGGATCTGAAAGGAAGCAGCGGGCGACGGCCATTAGGCGGGAGGGCACAGAGCGAGCGCCATCCCGCGGCGGGTGGCTCCCGCGGTCACCTGCTTCAGGGACTCCATGGTGAAGTAGATGCTGCTGCAGGCGGTGGACAGCGGCAGGTACTGCTGAGACACGGTCTCCACCTCCTGCATGACGATGTCCGTCTCCTCCACTTTCCTCGTCACCTCGGCCGCCTCTCTCTTGAGGTTCTCCAGGGTCGTTATGATGGTGTCGTCGTCCAAGATGCGTCCTTTCACCTCGTTCAGAGCTTGCAGCAGAGACTTCTCGAGCTGGCGTAAACGCAGCTGGAACTCTCCTGAAATGGTCACAACATCCAGAGTCTGCACCGCTTGCTTCTTCCAGAAAGAGAACTCCCCTGAGTGTCTGAATAAACCTGACATGTTCTAGAACCTTAATTAAAATTTTAGCCCCAAGGGGTACCTGGGTGGCTCAGTCAGGTCACGATCTCACGGTTTGTGGGATCGAGCCCTGCGTCGATGGTGCGGAGCTGGCTTGGGATTCTCTCTCAAAATGAACTTCAAAACAGTAAAAAAAAGTTCAGCCCCCCCGCCTCCCCCTCAGGGGTGCCTGGGCTCAAGTCATGACCCCACGGTTTGTGGGTTTGAGCCCCACGTCAAGCCCCTAGCACCGGCTTGGGGTTCTCGCTCGCTCCCCCTCTGTCTCAAAAATCAATAAACTTATAAAGAAAGAAAGGAAGTTCAGCCCCCAGCTTGCTCCAAGACTCCCAAAGCTACAGAGCCAGAAACATACCTTGAAGCTTAAGAAGATCGGAACGCTTTTCGTCCACATCAGGCCTTTCTGCCTTAAGTACTTCATTCAAACACTGGCTCTGCAAGCTGCTGCGGGTGACCGTGAAGTTGACAAAGGTAACGCGGGAACACAGGTCTGGCGGAAACTCCACCTGCCACAAGGGTAAGAGAACAGTCACCGGAGCTGCGACACAGAGCGCCGCCACAGATGTGAATCCCAAGTGCCCCGGTCCTTACGGTTGGATCTCGGGTGGACAGGAAGATGACAAATGATGGTGACAAATCTATATCCTGGTCGCCGAGGGTAATCAGCACTCTCCCCCCAGTTCGCCGAACTTCGCGGTTCAGTACTGGATTCAAAACCGGATCGTAGCTTTCCACATCCTAGACGCACACACAGGAAGTTTCACGGTTGGGGTTTTACAACATGTATCTTCACCCAAATAACTGTTATGACGCTGACCTAACCAGACGAACACACCGCAGAAGCTATCCAGCCGCTTAGACCTCCCCGTCCAGTACGGCAGCCACCAGCACCCGTGGCGGCCTGATTTAAATAAAAAATTCAGTTCCTTAAGCGTATTGGCCACACGTGTCTACCACCATCCTGGATGGCACAAAGCAGAACACTGCCATCAGTGCAGAAAGTTCTAGTGGACGGTGATGACAGATAAACACTTTCTTTTGGATTCGCTTTTTACAGAACAATTGTAAAGCTTTATCTTTTTTCTGACATTAAAGGAAGTCTTACAAAGGTAAAAAAACTACCCCCGTTCACATCATGTAATCTAGTTTTGTTCCACACCAACGGCTGGATGCACACACCTGCACCAGAAGGGGGTTCCCGAACCTCAGCGCACTCTCCAGGTTCTTGCGGAAGGCATCGTCTAAGAAGCTGGTGCGCGTGATCTTGCGGTCCTTGTACTCATTCATGATGAATTCTGTGGCCTGGCCAGAGGGGTCGATGATCAGCGGGTACCTGAGGGTGAGGCCACATGAGTGCAGGCTCGAGGAGCCCACAACAAGACGACGGGAAGGTTGTTCCCACTACTCAAGTGCAGCTTCCAGACAACCGTAACAAATCCTTGATGCTGAAGCCTTCCGGAAGCACTTCTGCAAGCAGCTAACAGAGTCACGCGCTCTCTGGAGCAGGGCCAGAGTCACAAGCTCTTTCTCTGCTGGGACACAGGTTCTTCTCTAAGCATCCAGCACGTGCTTTTCTCCAGGTGCTGAGTGCGCTCTGCTAGAATTACCGTTCCGTGTACTACTGCCCTTCCAGAACCAATGCTCAGCAGCACCTACCGCTAACAGGTACAGACGGCTCAAGCCGCCAGGGACCCTGGCAAATAGCAGACACAGCTTAATCCTCAGGAGAAGCCTATGAGAAGGTACTGAGAGCACGTCTGTTTTACACGTGAGGAAGATGGGGCACTAAGAGGCTACAGGGATTTGTCCAGAGTCACGTGCATGACCAATTAGTTTTTAAAAATCATAATGCACACAGGTGCTTGTACAAAATCCAGAAGCTACAAAAGGGCATGCGGTGAGAAGAACCGCCTCCCTCCTCTAGCTTTTGTTACCAGTTTCTGACCTGTCTACTCGGGGAAGGGTCAGGTGTTTGCAGACACGTGTGCGCGTGGGCACGTGCGTCCACGGGGATGCGGCACCCACTCCCCTTGCACACGGTCTGCTGGAGCCTTCTCTGAACGCACACTCGGAAAGGCCTGGTCTGTAGGACCCCAGCCATCCACTACGGAGGCGCACCGTAATCGCTTAACTGGCTCCTACTGAGGGGCACGGGAGGCGTTTTCAGTCTGTCAGTCACATTCTGTCCTGACATTTGTCATGCTTCACGTGGGCCAAGCTACTGAATAAGCACCTAGGGGTGTGTGTACTTCCCATTCAGGTGAATCCAGCTCTGCGCAGACCACACCGATGGACCGATAATCTCACCAGCACATCTGGCGAGACACGGAGCCACTGATGGGGCCTGAGGATTTGCTCATAAAATCAAATGACACCTGCAAGGGGCTTCATCCTCTACGTGTCCCTGGAACCGTGACATACTTCAGGGATTCAAAGACTTCAAGATGTGGAGATAAAGTCAGAAAACACTGGAGGTGTCTGGCTTTAAGAGCTGCCACACAGGAGGGTCAAGCCTCAGGGCATATGGCCCTGTACGTGGGGTGGGCCCTGAGGACCCCCTGAGCCAGTGTCAAGCCTGCCCTCCCTGAAGTCACCCTCCACCTCTAACTCTGGCCTCCTTAAGCCACAAACTGGGTGCCACTTTCTCCCTTAACTCTCTTTAGCTAAATATTTTCAGTTCTTGTCATATTTTTGTAATTATGTTTTTGTCGTCCACCCCGACACACAGCCCGCCAATCAGCTCTGAAAGGTGGCACGAGAGGCCTTCGCTGCGGAACAATTCGGGCGGTGGGGAAGCGGGGGTGGGAAGGGCCGCGCCCCCATCAGAGACGAGCGCTGGGCCTGCCTGCGTGCTCGCCCATTTCCAAGTTTCCCTTCATCTCCTCAAAGACGTATTCCAAAGAAACACAAAACCACGGCGTCACCGCACGTAAGGACTTCCAAGCTGCTCCCTGTGCACGAGCGCGTACCTGTTGAAGCGCTTCAGCATAATGGCGTTCTCCGTGCACAGGTCGTCAGCAGGTAGGGAGCTGGCTTGCCAGCGAAGGCGCTCGTCGGCGTTGGAGAGGTACTCGGTTCGCGCGATGTCTGTACGGAACTGAAAGTGAGGGCGGTTACCTTTCCTCCTCAAAGCTCCAGGCGCACTGTTTCCGGGCCAGCGTGGAAACGGCTGACCGGGCGCCAGGCCAGAACCCCATGGCCTGTTACCTGGATGTTGGCCTGCTGTAAGTGGTGGGACCACGTGGTGAACAGGTTCTGGCGCATTTGCTGGTCAAAGTAACCCGCGTAGGCGATGAACGCGGCCGATAAGAGGCAGTCCCCGGCGATGGTGGACATCTGGTTTTTGAAAGTTTCACTTGTTTTTTCCCATCGTTCACGTTCGGCGGACAAGCTCTTCAGGAGAGCAGTGCTCCGGTTTACCTACGGGGAAGATCCAACAGGATTTATACCAGAAAGTGAAAATTGGTTCCCCCCACAGGGCTTCTGGGAGGGCTGTTCACAGGCCCAGAGGACAGAGGACCCAGCTCCTCCACGACTGAGGATGATACGGGCCTCAGAATCTAATCAGGCCGCAAGAGGGTGTAGAGAAGCAGGGGTAGCCTTGAGACACGTGCGTGAGTGGAGACGGGGCAGGGAGAGGGCCCGGGGTGGACAGAACAGCAGGTGGGGGTTGGCCTAGAGAGAAGAGACACTGCTGGCAGGAGAGGAGAATATTCCGGGGAGTCAGGAAGAGTGTGGGCATGGCGATGGACACAGCAGTGAATGCCAGACTCGGACAACCATGTCCTTGGTGACCCCACAGGTTGGCTTCAGATCGCCCCCTGGTGTCCACCTGTCCTAATTAACGCAGCCCGGTGACCCAGGAGGCCAGCAGGCCCTCTCAGGACAGAGCTGGCCGGCAGACAAGAAGGCGGGCACACACGCGGGAACGTGTATGAGGCACCAGGAGCACCTCACGTCAGACCCCACGAAGAACTGAGAGGAGCCGGCAGAGAGAGTGCTCCCGCCCGGCGACAACCTTACTTTCGCTTCGACAGCGGCCAGGTCTGCCTTGATGGCCTGGGCCTCCGAGATCAGGACTGCGTACTCCTCCTTGTAGCGGGCGATGCTGGCTTCCAAGTCCCGGATCATCTGTTCCACCTCGTTGGCCTTCTGCTGGTTGTCCTTAGCGTCGTCCTCCAGCTTCTGTAGCTCGTTGCGCAGGGGCTCCACCCGCTTTAACATGTCAGCGTAGTTGAGCTGAAAAAGGCAGACGGTAATTAACTCTTCCCGAGTGACGGGACCGGAGGGGACTTTTCCCACGGGAGCTCCCGGCCACGCCACTTACCTGCGCGATGGCCCATTTCACCATAGGGCCGCAGGCCAGGGAGGCCCGGTTGACAATCTCGTAGTTGTAGCTTGGATTGGACATATAATTTTTCTTCATCTTCTCCCTTATGGCATCGCTGCAAAAGAGGGATTGTGTTTCTAAGCACGTGTGGGGCAAAGGATTTTAAAGGCCAGTTCCCATCTGTTGCTCCAGTGACCACGGAGGATGAGCTGGACCACCCGTGTTCCGGGGGATGGTGGTCTCTGACCTTCCCGCCCCCACGCTCCCCCGACGGGCGTCAGTGCCTAACGCCAGCTTTGAGTGAAATGGCTTAGAAGGCATTTGTGCAGTTGATGTAACGGACGCCACCTTCTGACACAACAGGCCACGGTGACAGGGCCGCGCGAAAGCAGGGAAACCTCTCAATGCCGGAGCGCCGTCTCCTGCTTCCTGGCGACGCTCACCTGATCTCCTCTGCGGAGAAGTTGACGATGGTGGGGATGAAGTTCTCCCTCATGATGATGGAGCGGATCTGCTTCCAGTCTGTGGTGCTCTCGCCCAGCAGCAGGCAGATGGACTCAAGCGCCAGCTTCACGGCGGCAGGGGGGTTGGCCATGGATCGCACCTCCACCAGGTGCTGCTTCTTTATCGACTTCACGGCTGGGAACCACGGTGGCAGGAGGGGCGGGAGGGCAAGCAGGTGAGGTGCGGTGGCACAGCAGAGCCGTGGCTCCGACGAGGAGGAGGCCACCGCTCAGAAGGCTGCAGCGAGCGGGACTTTCTGTCTTTAAACCCCCTGGAATAGCTGGCCTTTTAAATAACTCTGAAGCTCTCCCGGCACTAAAGGCCACACTGAACATTCCGTAAAAAGCAGGAAGCTGCCTTTGGCGATGTCTCACGGGTCCCCGTTAGTTCCTTTACCCCCATAAAGACTTAAAACGTTGACACGTTTCAATTATGTACTTACCTTACACAATTTAAGCAACAATATTTACATTCTGCCATAATCTAGAAGCTGTCTGCTTGGCTGGCTGAATATGTAGAATTAACAGCTCTAAAAAAAGGATGGCCAACGCCTTCTACAAGCTAAACTGCACTTTTTCCAGTCTGAACTTTTACTAAAACACTTTTTCACTGGTTACTCGGCAGTAAAAATTAAGTTCCCTTCGAAATTAGATTCTCAAGGAAAATCTATAGTTTGGATGGTGTAACAGGAAGAGCGCACGTTTGAAACAGGCGCTGATGGGCCGCGAGCGAGCAAGGCATTGGGCCGGGTCCCGGCCCAGATCCTGGCCCAGGCGCTATGGTGTCCCGCAGGAGCCCGAGTCGATGAGGAATGGGCAGCGACTGCCATGGGTACGCAAATTAGCATTCGCTGGTCTGGCCAGAAAACGCGTAGATAACCCCAAGACGACACTACACACTTCAAGGCATTTCTGGGTGAAACTCCAGTCGGATTCATAAATAGCGTCTTCATGTAATTATTGTCAAGTTAAAAAACAAATGTATTCACGTAAAACATATTTTGTCAACTGTCTCCTATGAGAGGGGCTTGGCTCTGGTGAAAACAGAGAGCCCCGTGGGGATTTGCTTTAAGGAATGAAGACCGTCTTTGGTGTTTAGAAAAACCTTCAGGTATTTGCCAGTGATGCTTCCAGACACGCACGCGCCTCTGGGGGCAACCCGGGCACAGCCCCAAGCTGCACAGCCAGCCCCATGGACAGAAGATGCCCCTTCTAGAAAGCCAGACCCCCGACAGCTGTGACGTACCATTCTGGGCCTCAATGACCGCAGGCTCCACCTTGTCGAGATCTTCTTTGACGCTCATCTGTTTGTCTGCGATGACTTCCTGCTGCTTGTGCAGCTGTTCCTGAATTTCTTGGCTCATCACCTGGTGAGAGGGACGGCTCAGCTACGGGTCCACGCCCCGCTGGGCGCTCCGCCCCCACCCAGCAGTCTGAAGCCCACCCGGACGAGACCTTCACGCCTGGCAAGCACCTTTTTCTTCTCGGCCTCCTGCTGGTCCTTCACCATCTTCTTCAGCTTGTCATTGGCGGCCGCGTTCTTCACCTCCAGCTCCTGGCTCTTTATGCGCAGGTCGCGCCGCAGCTCCTCCACCTGCGGGACGGGCGCCGCGTCAGGGGGACAGAGCCGCACAGAAATTTCCCGGAAAGGGGTCCTCACGCCAGCCCCCTGCCCGCAAGCGAAGCGAGCACCCGGGATGGACGTACCTGGTCGACGGTTTCCTTGATCTTCCTGAGCCCGACGTTCAAATGCATCTGCTGCTCCTCCAGCTCGCTCCGCTTCTCATGGAACAGGTTGGCGTAGTGGTTAATGAAGTCCAGGTAGTGGCGAGGTGTGATGGCCATCGTCCGGCCCCCTCGCTTCGCTAGCCGAGCATTAGCCTTTGAGAAGACAGTGAAATCTTTTCACTCTCGAGGACGTTCTCTGCGATTTGCCCTCCAAACGCTAACTGCTCTGTAGGCTGCCGAGTGACCTGGGGCAGGGACCCAGCCCCGAGGAATCACCCTTGAGACGCACCGGGTGGCTTGGTGGGCCGAACATCTGACCCTCGGTCGCAGCTCAGGTCACGATCTCACGGTTTGTGAGACTGAGTCCCGCACCAGGCTCTGCACTGACAGCACGGAGCCTGCTTGGGATTCTCTTTCCCCCTCCCTCGCACACGTGTGCTCACCCTCTCTCAAACACACATGAGAAAAAAAGGAGTCACACTTGAGTTGGGGTCTCAGCTCAGCCTCCTACAAGATCTCAGGGAGCCCCGGGAACCCCTAAGCTCACTCGTCAAACCTCTGATGACCCTGGCGACCTCACACGTGTACAGCTGGGGGGCACTGTGTAATGCCGTGCCTCCTAGGCCTTCTGCTTATTTTCCATGGACGCCAAAGTAAGAGGTGGCACCAGGAAGAGGGAAGTAAGAGGTGGCACACGGCTCCGTGGGACCAGCTGCTCCGGCCCCTCCGGCCACGGCACGAGGACACGAGCCCAGCCAAGGAAGCCAGGGCAGGGCTACCTTCCAGAGGCAAGTGGAGGCAGCCTGCAGGTATGGCAGGGGGTGGCAGGGTAGTGGTCGACTGGACGCCCACAGGCTCAGAGTGGTCTTTACGAATGCGTTTCAGATGGGAGCAGGTGGGACTCTTCCATGATGAGGAGTCTAAAGCAAGGGACAGCAAACCCTGGCCAGTGGGCCAAACCTGGCCGCTGCCCGTTTATGCAGATGAAGTACTAGCGGCACACGGCCAAACCCACCCGTTTCCATGCGGGCCGTGCAGGCTCTGTGTATCAAGGCAGGGCCAAGCAGTCAAGAGACCCTCCTGGTCCATGAGGCCTCAAACATGAACTATCTGGCCTTTTACAGGAGAAGTATGCCAACCCCTGGCCTAGGATAGAGAACCAGGACCTGTGCACCTAGCGGCAACGAGAAAAGGAAAGCAGAGTAGAACGCTTTACGGAAGCAGAATCCACAGAGCAGCGAAGGTCAAGGATCTCAGAAGGTGCAGCCTGGTAAGTAGGAGGATGTGTCACCGAAAGAGTTAGCAGCGAGCAATGGTATTGTGCCTAACATGCAATACCCTAGGGTCTTGTCTTCATCGATTTACATCAGTACGATGGTTAGTTTTGCTTTTTCCAGGACCTTGAAACAACCCACCTGGTGAAGAGTCTGATGAACAAATACACAGCTGTTTACAATCGCTTCCCGATGTGACGGTGGCTGTGGTAGTTTGTCATACACAAGCGGCATGTAATCAGGCACAATGTAATTCGGCTTCTCCAGGTCCATTTTACTTGTGAATTCCTTGCCCACTTGATACAGCGCTTCAGTGGACCAGTCCCCAAACCAGTTCAACACACACCTGCAAAAGACGCCCACATCTCAAATAGTTCCCAAGAGCCAGGTCTGTCCCTTGAGAAGAAATCGGCTGTTGTAACCCAGAGTAACCCAGAGCCGAGCACGTGTCGGCCCACCTGTTGAAAAGTGCCGGGGAGGTGGCCGCGCGGTCCTTGAGCCCCTCCGAGGACGGGTTCATGGTGAAGACGACGTGGAGGTTGCGGATGACCTGGCTGGTGAACCATTTGTACAGTTCCTCGTGCGAGTCCAGCATCAGGCCCTCCTTCTGGGCCCCCTCTTTGCACTGGGTCATCAGAGTGGCGTACTCATCTCCTTCAAAGAGGCCGGGGACCTAACAGACGAGAGGGCGTTACGACTGACCGGCTCTGGGAAGCTGACACCACCACCCAACACCACGCAACGTGGCACGTACCTCCCCGTTGGCCAGAAGGGTATTCATTCGCTCCAGGAATCCAGAATCTAACACGTTGGATTCATCCATTATAAATGCTATCTTTTCGTTCTTACAGCCGGAACGCCTCAGCACCGTCCTAAGATCTTCATCGAAGTCTTCCCCGGTGTACTTTCTGTGCACCTGCGGAAGCAGTCGACAGGTTAGGTCCAATCTCATTCAGGGAGCCGTGTGCGTGAGTCGGGAAACTGTCGCTGGGAGTAAAAGGCATCGACCAGACCCACCTTAATCTGGTACACACTCAAACCATTCATCCAGGCCACAAAACGGGACAGGGTGGTTTTTCCTGCTCCACTGACACCAATCAGAAGCAAGTGGCCTTGAGGCTGGCGGAATATCCTGACAGCATCAGAAAAGATAAAAGGGTTTTAGGCTCTGTTCTCCTTTTGACACTCGGGTCCTAAACTTTCTCAGGAGTTAACCTACAACATCTCTAAGGTATTTTAACTTAAATTGGTAAGTCAACCACTTGTTGAGCGACTGCTATTTGCCAGGCCTAGTGGGGGACATGGTCCTATCCTCCAGACACCCAGGTGGCACAAGGCAGAATCTAACAAGAGGTGTCAATCATGGCAGGAACAGACTATTAGCAGGAGCTGAGTGAGTGTGCGGGAGGCAGGTAAGGGACGGAGAAGCGGGACTTAGAAGGGAGGGGGGTTGCTTAGCTGAGAAGGCAGAGGTGGAGGTGAGGGGAGGTCGGCTGGGAGGATCCCCTACCACTACGTGAACAGTGGCGTGGGTGAGCACAGAGGCTGTAACAACAAAAAGCCCACCGGTCGATCCTGAGCACGTGGTCTAACACTTCATTGAACAGGACCAGAGGAACATCAAGTTCTTCTTCATAGAAGACTTTCAGCCTAGCCTTGACGTAATCTCTCAATTCTTCCTGGTCTACTGGGATGTAATCCTAGAAAAAAAGAATTAAGACCCAATTACTAAGAGAAATCATCTTCTGTATAATACCAGTCAATTAGAATTCCAGGTACCAAAAAACCGTTAAAATATACGAAAAGGTATCACTTACAACATAGCAACAAAAATGTAAGTTAGCTGGGACTCGATATAAAACCAGGGGAAATCTTTGTAGAGAAAACTGAACGTCCCTGAAAGACCTCATGGAAGGCCTGAATAAATGAAGAAGACAGAAACCATGACCGTGCAGAGATAAGTGAACTGCTGTAAAAACGTCAGCTCCATCCAACTTGACAGAGAAAGTGAATACGATCCCAGCCACAAACAATCTCAGTGGTGGACAGTGGGGTGGTTTTAGCCCAACTTGACAAGCCAATTCTAAACTTCATTTGCAAGAGGAAAGGGCCAAGGACGGTTAGGTCAAGATCGCCCTAAAGAAGAACCAGGTGTGAAGGCCTATCCTATCAGACTTCATCATCATCTATCTATCAAGGTCATGCAGTTTTGAGCACAGGGAGTGACAAACGAGCAACAGAGCAGGACAGAGCCTCTGAAACAGACCTGTGCAGGCAGGGAACCCATAATGACAGATTCTGCCAAGTAAGGGATCATCCAACAAATAGCGCTGGGTCAGGACGTCCCAGGGGAAAACTGGAAACAGACCTGTAGCTCACTCCACACACACACACACACGGATTATGGGTTTAAATGACAGAACTCTGACAACATGTGCTTGTCAGAAGACACCATAAAGACAGCGACAGATGAGCCACTGGGAGAAGATGGTGCCTATAAATGAGAACGATTAGTATCTGGAGTCCAGAAACACAGAAAATTCTAGCAACACCAAACCTGTCTTGCTATTTCTTGCTTCTGTGCCTTTGCTTCTGTCAGGCCCTCCGCCTGGCAAGCCCTTCTTGACAAAGGTGTACAAGACTCTCTAAGAGCCAATATCAGGGTCAGCTCTACTGAGATCTCTCCAGACGGAGCTGTTTCCATCGGTCTCTCTCCCCCATTGGACTGTGCGCTCTCTACAAGATTTTCCTCATCCCTGTGCCTGAACTACCTGCTGAATGGAACGCACATTGAAACTACACTTTACTAAAAATCCTACTCTCTTTCAGAAAAAGAACAGCTCACAACTATTCTAGAAGCGTCAACTTTGTACAGTGTAACAGTATAGGAAATGTTTTTACATGGATTATTCACAATTGGCTCATTTCTGGAGTGTGAGGGAAGTGAAAGCAAAGGGGAAGACTCCTTTCGCTGCAAACACGCCGAAGCCTGGCCCCTGACGGGTGGGACTGCATGGCTCTGGCAGCAACCATCTCATGGGATAAGAAACACACGGCCGGCCCGCCAGCCCCGGGCACACTCTGGGGACAGTCTACCGTAAGTTATCAGCATCGTGCCTGGAACCAATGATTTGCTTACAGGGTACTTTGGGAAAAAGGTCTGTTTGACAAGAAGAGAATTCTAACTGAAAGGGCAGAAGGAAGTATTTCTGAAATGACAACTTGTTACCTTTGACAGCCAGTTGCTGTACAAGATGGGCCGGCTCATCGCCTTCTCTTTGTCTATGTTGGGAAAGTGCTTCAGAGCAACCATATCGATGTTCTCGTCTGTCCAGCGCCTCTCCTCGTCCTCCACGAGTCTGTCGAAGAAGAGCCATGTGTGTATCAATGCAAACAGGAGCCGTGCTGACAGAACACCCTGTTTTGTTGGGGCTGCGGGCAACTCCAAGGGCTACAATTAGCCTTTACCGGAAGTTTTCATTTTTCTCCCAATGGAAAAACCTAAGAATCTGAACTCCAGACAGCTTAAACAATCCAAAATGTTACTAAACATAAAACCCCTCAAACCTATAGCACCGTTACATTAAAAAAATTCCTCTAGGGGGCGCCTGGCTGGCTCAGTTAGAACATGCGACCCTTAATGTGGGGGTCATGAGGGTGAGTGCCATGTTGGGTGTAGAGATTACTTAAAAAACAAGTAAAAAAAAATTCCTCTAAAAGTGTTTAATCACGTCGATTTACAACATGGAAACGTGATTCTAGTTTCTACACTTGCCTAATACAAAGTTCCCAGGGTCACAGGGGAACGGGGACAGCCAACACACGTGGTGCCAGAGACCCAGGGCTTATAGAGGAAACCATGACGAAGCAGGTAAGACTGAACAAGTCCACATGGATGGGCCGGGGGTCGGGGGTGGGGTGGCGAGCACCTCCTGAGAAGCTGAATGTGTGACGCACTCAGGCTACCAGGTGCGGGTCACATAGTTAATGCAGCCAATCGGAATTTAATACAACTTTATCTCTGGCATTTTGGAAAATCTGTGAAATTATGGGTCAAATTCTTTCATTATTTAAAAAAAAATTTTTTTTAACATTTATTTATTTTTGAGACAGAGAGAGACAAAAAACACAAGCAGGAAGGGGCAGAGAGAGAGAGAGGGAGACACAGAATCTGAAACAGGCTCCAGGCTGTCAGCACAGAGCCCCCAACGCAGGGCTTGAACTCATGAGCTGTGAGATCATGACCTGAGCTGAAGTCGACACTTAACCGACTGAGCCACCCAGGCACCGCCCCCATCAAATTTCTTCATTATTAAAAAAGAGAGGGTTAGAAGTTTTTCTTGTTCTGTTTTGTTTTAAATAAAAAGAAGCTAACATGATGTTCCTTGCTCCCCTCCCCCACTTGCTTCGCTCATGCCGTGCACTGGGCTCTGGGGCGGGGCTGCTGTGTGACTCAGTGGACTCCCAGAGCCCGGTGTGAGAGCCAGAGACCTACGATGAAGCAAGTTCTGAGACTCCTCGTGAGCTCGGGTGAGGAGAGCTGCCCGGAGGCAGGACTCACTGGTCTGGAGGTGCAGCCGCTGGACACACAAGTCCGTACCCTCGGTCTGGAGGGAGCCATCTGCCCTGGGTTCTCCCAGGAGTAACATTAACTGACCAACCACATAAACCTGGGACTGCGAGCGGCCAGAGGGACTATGTCCTCTGTGAACGGCCACCTCACACTTACCCTGTGAGCAAGGGGACCTGCCCGGCCACAAGAGGCCTGACCTCCTGCACTGTTCTGAGCAGCCCGATTCACAGGCAGAACATTCCCCCAAAGAAAGGAAACTGTGGTGCTGTGTTAAATAGTAAATTAAGAATTATTAAAAAATGTTTTTAAAATGGTTTTTATTTATTTTTGAGAGACAGAGTGCAAGCAGGGGAAGGGCAGAGAGAGAGGGAGACACAGAATCCGAAGCAGGCTCCAGGCTCTGAGCTGTCAGTCAGTACAGAGCCTGATGTGGGGCCCAAACCCACGAACCATGAGATCATGACCCGAGCCAAAGTCGGATGCTTAACCTACTGAGCCAAGAATTGATTTTTAGAAGTTTAGAACTAAAGTAACACAAATTTAACTTTTCCTCACCCATCAAAAATGAGCCTGAAAAACTATGCTAAAATACACAAAATATTTAAAAAAAAAATTAACAGGGCAGAAACTAGGAAAATTAAGAATTTACTGTAAAATGAAGACTGTACTGGACTCCAAAGAATGCAAGAAGTTGACTCTGGCTTAAAAACGCCAGTAATTTTCAAGATCCCTCAAGAGGTAAAGACTCAACTTTCCACTGTGGTGTTTCCTGGGACTCAAACCACAAAACTTTTCATGGTCCACACTGATCACTACAGTCATGAGCAGCTTGTCCCAAAACTCAGAATCTACAAGGCAAGACCTGAGAAAGGAGGCCAACAGATAAAGAGACAGAGCTGCAAACCCTTTGATGTGAATAAAGTTCAAGGGTGAGGAGAGCTGGTTATGGAAACCACCTGCCAGGGAGTCGCTAGAAGGCATCTAATGGTGTTGTTTTTTTTTTTTTTAATGTTTCTTTTTGGTAGACAGAACACAAGCAGGAGAGAAGAGAGAGGGAGACACAGAATCTGAAGCAGGCTCCGGGCTCCGAGCTGTCAGCACAGAGCCCGACACAGGGCTCGAACCCACGGACTGCAAGATCATGACTTGAGCCGAAGTCGGATGCCCAACCGACTGAGCCACCCAGGGGCTCCTACTTTTTTTTTCTTTTTTTTTAAAGGAATCTCTATGCCCAGTGTGGGACTTGAACTCATGACCCCAAGATCAAGAGTTGCACGCTCTACCGACTGAGTCAGCCAGGTACCCCTAGAAAGCGTTTAAATTCGCCAGAAAACTCCAGCTTGGACAAGGTCATGGGGCACAGGCATGACAGACAGTTACCGAGCTTAATGGAAGTGCCTCACCCCCTACCTACCTACCCTTACTGGTGGTGGGCAGTCCCTGAGCCCTGACACCCATCATGCTGGGGGTGGCTGTGCTCAGACGCCAAGGCTGCCCTTGCCGCCTCTGCCGCCTTCCGCCACCAACAGAGGCTGGCTCAAACTTGGGCAGGCCAGCCTTGCACAGAGCCTAACTCGGAGGGCTATAAGCATCAGTGTAGGCGGAGCAAGGAGCTAACCGCATCCTTGGCCTTACCTGTCTTGGAAGAGACGGAGGGCTTCGTGTGCCCAAATCCGAATGAGGCCTTCCACAGGCAGGGTTTCCAGAGGCCTCAGGGCCTCAAAGATCCCTCGTACCCACCTCGTCATCTCACGGGGTGAGTAGATATAGTGGGGCTGTGTGTCCTGAGTGAATCTCTCCTGCAGGTTCAGAAAAGTGGGAGGTATGTATAAATCCCTTAAAACGCATGAAAAGTGGTTAAGAGATCAAGTGCTGTGTAACATTTTTATATTCAAAATAGACAACCTAAACCCTAGAAAATTGAAGGATGAATTAGTAGACAACGTTGGAACCACTGGACAACTATCTGGAACAAAGTTCCATCCAAGTTGCTCACTTTTATGTTAAAATTAATTATATTTAACGAAACTACAACAATGCTCTTCTGAAAAGACTTTAAAGCATGTAATTCCTAAGTTCAGGGAAAGTCTTCCTAAGCGTGATTTTAAAAGCAGGAACAAAGAAAAAAAAAAAGATTTACACTTGATGATGTTAAAAATTCTGCAGGAAAAGTTGCAGTTCCACAGAACGAAAAGCAAACTAAATACCAGGAAGGGTACTGGACACTTCTGGACACTACTGGACGTGCAGGCAATCGGGGAGGAGCGGGGCGGCTGTGCCTGGTCGGGGGTGGGGGGTGGCCAGCAGCTCTCAGTGCCCCGGGAGGCACCGGAACCGGAAGGCGTCCCAGATGCGCGAGTCCCAAGCAGGAGAACCGCTTCCTTTCACCAGGCGGTTTGAAAGCGGTAATGAGGGTGGCGGATGGAGACGATGCTGGCGGCCACGTCGGTGGTCCAGCTGCCCGGAGAGCAGTTTGACAACACATCATCATTACAAATAACCACACGCACACCCATGGTTGTGCTGTAATAACAAGTGTCCGTGTCCTTTGAGAAACTGAGGAGTACAGTACCGATTTTGTAAAAAATACTGTATGTAACGTGTGCAGACAAGGGCAACAAGAAAAAAAGGGAAACGTCTGCAGTCGTGGTACCTGGTAGAATGATTTGAGGACAGGCTCTGGGAAGTCCCGGCTCAACGAGAGCTCTAAATAAAGCTCCATCTTTTAGCAGCGCCCGACCCCGCGTACCTGAGACATGGTGTAGAACTCCACCATGGCGGCGGTGAGTGGCTCCGCGTACGTGCGCAGGGACGGGATGAGCCGCAGCATGGCCCGGTTGAAGGTGCCGTAGATCTGCGTCAGGGAGGCGGGTCCCGGGTAATCCACATACACGACCGGCACGTGGCGCAAGAATCTGCGTGAGGACGGCCGGCTCAGACTTCCCAGCTGATCAGCAGTGTGCCTGAGCGGAGAGTGCCCCGGCCCGGCCCGGGCCCAGACCCAGGGCTGCTTCCCGATCCACCCACACAGGCCTCACGTCCCCATTCGCGCAGATCACGCACAGACTGCTGGGGCCTGGGCGCCGACACTAACAGTAGGTGCAAAAAACTTTGAAAAAGAGCCAACCCCAAATGGGAAAATGATGCAGGCTGATACAGCTTCATCGTGGCCCCACAGACAGGTCTGGGGCAGTTAGCTCGTTACCACCCAGAGAGTCAGTGCTTTTATTTTTGAGTGTGTGTTCCAGTATTGCAGCACGGCACAAGGAGCCCAGTGGCCACCCTACGATAATCAGCATTTTGTTACCTTTTTACGACCAAAACCAGATTTCTGCTGTGCTACGTTTAAAACAATCTTGGAACAGGTGTGTGTGTGAGGCCAGTGCTGTCTACGGAGCTGTGTGTTACCTGTGAGAGAGGGGCTTTCTTCCAGGATCCGTGGGTGGATTACAAGCCCCGACAAACTGGATCCTCTCCAGCTTCACCCACGTTTGATCTGAGGTTCGGTAAAAGCCTCCATGCTCCACCATCTGAGGGAAAGCGGGAGGGTCAGCACATTAATGGCAAATGTGAACGAGGTCAGTGGGGACTTGTGGATGTACACAAACCTGTCTGATGAAGGATATGACCCTCTGTGTCCCGTATTTATCCATGTCTGGCAAGTTGATCTCATCACAGAATAGCACCAGCCACTTTCCAAGTTGAACCGGGGCCAAAACCACACCGTTAGGGGTACGTCTGTACTCGCAGTAGTGGTCAAAGGTCTTCAGCAGGAGCTCTGGAGTGGTAGCACTCGAGAAGTTAAGACCCACAACCTTTAGACGGAAGAGGCAAATCGACTGTTACAAGCGCCATCCCGTACGTGAGCACCGAAAGGCCTGCTGCCCACCTCCCAGCCGCTTTACCTCCATGTCGGGCAAGGCCCGGAGGGCGCTGAAGAGGGTCATGGTCTTGCCAGACCCGGGGGGCCCGCACAGGACCAGTGGCTTGTGCTCAGCCAGCCAGGTGTACAAGAGGGCTTCGTGGCGGACGGTGTCCAGAGTCGGCACGACGACGTCAGGGGCCGCCACCTTGTGCGTCTCCACTTCAATCTGAGGCACCTTGGCCTGCCATGGCGACCATTCTCCGCTGATGGACACCTGCACCCAGAGAAGGGGTGCGGGTCACTCCGGGAGCCACACACCTCACTTAGAGACTTGCTCACTTTCACACAAACCAGAACTGCTCTCCTTATACCACATAAAGCAAAAGACAGTATCCTTTGATGAAACAGAAAGATTAATGGGGCATCTGGGTGGCTCAGTCAGTTAAGTGTCCAACTCTTAGTTTCGGCTCAGGTCACGATCTCACAGGTCGCGAGGTCTGTGCCGACAGCGCACAGCCTGATTGGGATTCTCTCTCTCCCCGTCTCTACCCCTCCCCCACTCATGCATGCGCTCTCTCTCAAAACAAATAAAGAAAAAAAAAAAA